CCTCCTCTATTTTAAAACCCACGAGCCGCCACTGCCTGTATTACCACTGTTAAATACAGCACAAGCCTCTTTTTGGGCTTTATTATTAACACTGCTCCAACTAGAAGCAACAGATGTAAAGATATGCAATATAAATAAAAATAAAATGAAATTTACATTGTAACAGGTAGCATGAGGTTTTGTAAGTTGATCTCTCTCTGAGAAACTGTTTCTGATTGTTCTACAGATGTGGTTAGGGGGACAGATGGAGTGAAGTCAATGTCAGTGATAAAGGGAGAACATGTCACTCTAGACCCTGATCTTACTCAACTACAGCGAGATGAAATGTTGCTGTGGGGGTTTGGAGATATAAACGTTCTCCTAGCTAAAATTGATTTAGAGACTCAAGAGATCTCTTTAAAGAATACTGATGAGAGATTCAGAGATCGACTGCAGGTGGATCATCAGACTGGATCTCTGACCATCACAAACACCAAAACCACAGACTCTGGACTTTATAAACTACAGATCAGAGGCAGTGAGAGCTCACAGCGATTCATTCTTACTGTCAACGGTGAGTAACTGAGTCTTTAGAGAACAGGTTTTTCAATGTAAAGACGTATACAGTGCAATTTCATCAGCACTTTAGAAAAAATATGTAAAATTGTCATCTATATGTAACAAATTTTTAGTTATGCACACAAATTGATTTTCGACATTTGACTGAAGACCGCTTTATGAGAAACGAGCAAAATGTTTCACACTTGTTTAAATTCTCATCATGTGAAATCCCCCCCGTAGTCCATTTACTAACTTGGGCTGAGACGGTATCAGATTTTCACTCAGGTTATATAGTGCTGATATTTCTAGTGTTTGTTATAGATCAGACACACATTCACACTAATGACTGTCTCTCTTTAACTGTTCCAGATTCAGGTCTGTCTCCACCTGCTGTAGCAGGGATTGTTGTTGGTGGTGGTGTTGTTGTTCTGCTGGTGGCTGCAGCAGCTGCTGGTGTGATTTACTATCGCAAGATCTCAGAACTACAAAAACAAAGGTGTAAGTATTACTGTTGATACAGCAAGAGAAAAACAATTAGCTTTATTTGTGGTACAGTTGCGGGTAAATGTATAATATGTTTTCATAGTCATTATGTCTACTTTTTTACCTTTTAAGGTCTGCTTATGAATGATTCAGTGTGACTTCATGCCACACTGATGCACTCCACCAGTGGCAGTTCTAGATCGCAGTAACCGATGGAGCCAAGCAAGGTCGACTTGTGCTATTGATGGGCAAACTTTAACATTTATCTTAGCCTATTTTCTGGATAATTGAAACAGGGTTCGTACAAGGTGCTTAAAGTGCTTGAATTTGACTTTTTGAAATTTAAGTCCTGGAAAACTCTTGAAACAATCTTTTTACGCAAAAATAACAATGCAGCGCGTCTGACATAAATACAGAGCCGTTTCGCCTGTCTTTTAGCAGCACACGAAATCTCGCGATATTACTCCTTGGGGTGAATAGCGGTCTCGCGATATCAGTATAAAGTTGAATTTGTGATTAAACCTTTGATAGTGCTTGTATTATATTGTTCGGTCATTTATTGCATGTGCTGTTTGTTTGGGTTTCATTTGGAACGCGTATAAAGTCTGACGCGTTTTGTGTTGCACCGTGGCGCACGTCTGCATCTCAGCAGCTCGGTCCACAAACTCTTCCTCTGCTGTGAATTTGGGTTGCTTAACGTTCGTCTGGGAAAACAGTGTGCGTTATCTCACTAGATTTATTACGTAAATCATGTATAAACATATGCCAACACAGGAGAATACATTTATATTTCAAAATAAAAGTTCAAACCTTTGCTCTGAGTTTGAGTGTGGCCAAATATTACAATTACATGGATTTAAACGTCCTTGAATCACAATGTAAAGTGAAGTATAGTCAGGCCGTTGGCGCCCTCTACAGGTATTTGTTATAATACATAATATACTTAAGTTGGTTAGGTTCATATTTTGTGTAGGCATATTACATTATGTAGGCCTATTTTATCAGTGTTGTTCAATTAAACCATGTAATTACTTGTAATTAATTTGATACTTTATTTGAACCAATTGTTATTGCCTCATCATTAGTTTATATATATAAATAGTTATACTAAAGCCTGTTTTTCACTTAGGTCTATTTGTATTACTAAAAATACCAGATTACTCAATTGTCAAAATAATCAGTAGATTACTCGATTACCAAAATAATCATTAGTTACAGCCCTAGATTAGTTAAAATATTTCAAAATACAACTGTATTGCTTTGATTTGTGTGATTAAAAGACAAATATTTTGTCATTTAAAAAAAAAATCTTAAAAATAGAATTAAAATATTGTCTCATTCTAGTGAACCAAGTATCTCTATATCTCGTGAGCTAAGTGTACAGTCACACACCCTAGTGTTGGTAAGCGGTGATAAGTTCAGAAAAATTACAAATGCACAATTATGTAGTATTATTTATTAATCACATATTAACAGCATTTTGGGTACTTTTCTGCTTTTTTAAAGTCCCCATGAAATCCAAATTTATTTTAGTATGCATGTAGTGTGCTAGCCTTAATACATCTACAAGCTAATGTGCTCCAAAACAGTGACAAAATTCACATTTAGAAGATATTTGTATGCGGAATGTATAGTCTCTCTCTACCACTAATACAGATAGAAATGCAATTTTGATGACGTTGATGAATGAAGTCTGGTTTTGTGTCAGTGGCCTCTGGTCCACAGACACTAAAGCACAGAGCAGATCATATGCGCGAGTTGGCACAGACAAAACAAATCAGTTTCAAACCACACATCTGCATTACTAAACATTATTATTGTTTTACTATAGTAACAGTTTCATATTAAATCTAAATGGTGGAATTTTTTTAAATGACAGTTGCTGTCACAAGCTTTCAAATACCTCTTTCCCAGGCTGTGAAATATGGTGCAGTGTAAACAGCCTTGACAGCAAACTGTGCATTTCAACCTGAAATAACAGCGCCTGAATCATCTTCGTGTAGTAAGTTCAAATGCTGATGTTCACCTGCACACACTTGATCTAATGGCAACATATTCTTTCTCTGTTTCTATGTGCATCTGTCACATATAAAGCCGTGATGATATCAGTGGAGGAAGGAGAACATGCTACTCTAAACCATGCTAATAAAATACAGAAAGATGATCTGATCCTGTGGATGTTTGGTGATGAAAACAAACTCATTGCTCAAATGATGGGACAGACTAGAGAGATCACATATCCTGATGCTGGCAAGAGATTCATAAACGCACTGCAGCTGGACAAGACTGGATCTCTGACTATCAAGAGCATCACAAATGAACAAGCTGGAAATTATAAACTACAGATATGCAACAGCAGAAGAACCATAGAGAATCAATTTTGTGTTGATGTCCGTGGTGAGTAATTTATGTTTTATAAATGAACAGATTTATAATAAACTGAATCTAATAGTTACAGAGTTATTGTTATCTGAGTGTCTATTTACACTAACTCCGCCCACCAACATGTGATTGGGATAGTCAACATTACAAAAGACAGTGGACAGTCATCAGCTCCAGTGGTGCAGATGGTAAAACGTGTGTCGTACTCATTTTGATGCGATCAACCCGGGTTTGAATCCGCCTTTTGGCAAACTTTTTTCTCCCTTTTCAAATTTAAAATCACATCATAAAAGCAATTATTTTCAATGAAAATGAAGGAAATAATCAAAAAGTTAAAAATAAAGTATCAGGTAGGGTCAGGGAAGTTGTCGGGAGGGATTTATTGTTCCAATAAGGTGGCATCCATTTAATAATTTGAATAAAAATGTATACTCAAGTTATTATTGCATACTATTTTATAATGTACTACAATACTGAGGTGCAGATAATTGCCACTATTTTCTATTTTCACTATGTTCACTATAATCCTGCTATTTTAACAGTGTAAATAGAATCTATAGCTATTTGAACTTATTGTAAATAGCATATCACTAAAAAAATGCTGCTATTTGCACTTAGTGTAAATAGCATCCATCGC